TGGGTTCCCCCTCTGCCCACCGCCATCTGAGTCTCCACGCCCCGCCCGCTGTGGGTTCCCCCTCTGCCCACCGCCATCTGAGTCTCCACGCCCCGCCCACTGTGGGTTGCTGCTTTGCCCACCGCCAACTGAATCTTCAAGTATGTGAATCTAGGATCTGTGTCAGAGAGATTGACTAGTGAGCCAGTTTCTCCCTGGACATCAGCTCCTACCTCCCTCTCTGTGGTCCTTCTGGTTGCCTGTGGTAGAGAAGCCCCAGGAAGAAGGAATTAAAGTTGACTAAGACTTGGGCATGAACACAGGGAACTAAGGGAGGAGAGAACTTCTGAGAAGGCAGGAAATGAGAAAGAAGGTGGCATTAAAAAGGAGAGAATCTGCCGGGCGGTGGTGGCGCACGCCTTTAATCCCAGCACTTGGGAGGCAGAGGCACGTGGATTTCTGAGTTCGAGAGTTCGAGGCTAGCCTGGTCTACAGAGTGAGTTCCAGGACAGCCAGGGCTACACAGAGAAACCTTGTCTTGAAAAACCAAAAAAAAAAAAAAAAAGGAGAGAATCCTGTTCATCCCTGAAAAGACTGAGGTGTTTTAATAAGTTTAAGTTCTAGTATAAGAGAAGATATTTGGGAGTAAAATAATAAAAGCATGAAACACTTGAGCAATCAGTCCTTTAGGCAAAATTGGTGTGGTTTATTTTTTTTTTCTAGTTCCTGACAGCAGAAGTAATGGGTTTTTTTTTTTTTCAATGAAACATAATGCAAACAACACTGTTCCAGATGAGTCTTCATAAATGTCTCTGGGGAGCAGTATGGGCTCTCTTGGCATTATAGAGTTACATGGAGGATGACAAATGTGATCTTCAGAGAGAGGATACACAGAAAACATTACTCTCCACTTGGGGCCCCAAATGCAAGAGGATTGCCACATAAGCCTGAGGTGGCCGTCGAAGTGGCCTAGCTTGAGTTGCCAAGTCACCTTTCTCACTGGCTCTTTCATGTAATTGTGTGTCCACTAGAGGATGAGCTTGGACCACGAAGTCTTCCCCTGCCTACTCATGCGTGGGAACTCTGTACCAGGCCTACTGTTTAAGTAAATGTGGCCTGAGGAAGGAGGGAAACAGTCACAGTCACTTCTGAGTGTCTTGGCAAGTTGGAGGTCACCCCAGGACCATGCTTTCAGAGGAGTACAGGGGACGAATCAAAGTCCCCTTACTGTGCAGTCTGCCAATGGAATCTTTGAGTATCCTCAACGTTCCTGGAGAGTCTTCTGGGCCAGGCTTTGAGCCAGGCTGTCTCATCCCTTGGTACCTGTGATTCCCAACAAACCCACCCTCCAGTGTATGACATCCTGAGGTGGCTAGCCTGGCACTTCTGGTCAGAGCTGTTAGGTGAAGAGTCTTTGTGTTCCTACTGCTGAGGCACAAATGGGACAGCTCATGATACACCCTCATTGTTTTTGGGATGCCATTTGTCTTCCTCAGAACCCACCTCTGTAGATAGGAGTCCTTTAAAGGGGCTTTTTAAAAGCCCTTTAAGCTGGCCATGATGGCACTTGCTCGTAATTCCAGTCCTTAGGAAGTAGAAGGGGAATTAGGAGTTCAAGGTTATCCTTAGCTACATACTGAGAACGAGGACAGCTTGAGCTACCTGAGACCTTGTCTAAAAACTAAAAGGAATAGCCCTTTAAAATCAAGGTGTTAATGGGGGCCAGCAAGGTGGCTTAGCAGGTAAAGATACTCGTAACCAAGGCTAATGACCTCCACTCAGGCCTGGAACCCTAGCAATAGAAAGAACCAACCAACTGTAAGTTGTCCTCTGGTCTCCACACATGCCTTGTGGTATGTGGAGACACACACATACACTCACACCTATAAATAAAAATAAGTTTTTTTTTTTAAAGAGTAAGAAAAGAAATAGGTCAGGAGTGAGATTCCTGGAAAAGAGACACAGGCTGTCTTTTAGGTGACTTTTTTGTTCATGGCAGAAAACAGAGGTAAAGGCTGGTTAACACTAAACTGAGGCATGCTATTCTGGGGTGTAGGCAGACTGGATGCATGCACTGTGTGGGTCATGGGGGACCACCATGTTTCCCGAAGCACCTTGTCATGCTTTGTTACGAAGTTACCCAAGAACTTTATTCCCTGATGTTGGCTTTTCCACTGGGTCTCATTCATGGCTTGGTAAGCCCTATCTTCAGATCCTCTCTTGCCTAGATCCTCATAGAAGCCTAGATCAGGATATCCCACTCAGAAGGTTCATTCCCTAGAGTGCTCCCTTGTGGGCATTCCTCTGGTGACCCCATATCCATTCTCCCTGAGATTGGGCCCTGAGGACCTGGCTCCACGCTACACCACCTTGCACGCTGAGCATGTGCCCGTCTGGTCTGTGCTGCAGGGCAGCCCCAGCCCCGGCCTGTTGTGTGCAATGCAGCATGGGCTTTGCTTGAATTGCCCTCCCCAGTGTCCAGCCATTATGCAAGGCCTGGCCTTCCCCTTCCCCAGAGGCTAAAAGTAAAGGAGACCCTTTGGCTTCCCAGGGTATTAACACATGGTTCTGATGCTTCTCTTTGTGTATGTATTTGTGTCTTGCTTGTTTTCTTTTTCCAGATGACTAAGTCGGTTACTAACCCGGAGGAATTGGGAGGCCTGGCTTCACAAATGACCACTGACTATGGGCACCTGGCTCTCCAGGGCCAGATGGCAGCAGCCACCGCCGAACCAGAGGAGGTCTGCCACCTTAAGACCCCTATCTTAAGAAGCAAACACATGGTGTCCATTCCTGGGGATGGGAGAGGGGAGGACCCTGGAGCTTAGTTCTACAAGACCCCAGCCCAACAGCCAGGAGCAAGTTTCATTCCCATTACTGTGCCCCAGATTCACTCAGAGAGCCCCAAATTGTGCCCAGAACTTGGACCCTTGCTGAGACCAGCTGGGCAAGAACTAGGGTGCCCTAGAGAGTGGCTGTCAGATGGAAGGGTTTGTTTACAGAGTTCTGCCAGGCCCTTACAGCTGCCCGTCTCCCTCTTCAAATGCCCAAACTTGGGTCTGTCATCTTCCTGCTTCCCACTCGCCCTTAGCACATCCTATCAGGCATGCCAGTATTTTCCAAAGGCTCCCCAAAATATTAGAAGGTTCACATGTGGGGTTTCATATCTCCTCTCTTGATAACAGTCTGCTTGCGCGACACAAAGCCCAGGCTGTAGGTCAGGACCCACCTGCTTTACATAGAGGCTATCCCTTTCCATAGACATGGCCTCGGCAAGTCTGTACCCATAAGAATCTTAGAACGGCAAGCTTGCACGCTGTCAGAGATCAGTCATCTCTGCAAGCTGTGAGTGGGACCACACAGAACAGCTGGGGACGCAGAGGGCCTGGAGGAAGCTTTGTCAGTGTGAGCACCTAGAAAGGGTGTCTAGGGCCCAGGAAACCATGTGGCTCCTTAGAGAAAGAAAGTCCACTGTGAGATACAGAATGATGGAGGGACTCCAGGAACACAGGAAGATCCAGGTAACCACACTCCGTGAGAAGCAAGCTGTTTATTGAATGGAAACTTTGCTCAGTATTTTCTTAAACAGTAGGGCAGATGGAAGCCACAGGTTTGCAACTGGTTTGCTCGTTTCCCTAAGATGAAAGACACTACCCTCACTTCCCCAGCGCTGCTGGTTGGGACCTGGTGTATCTAACAAAGACTTTTAGAAGCAACTGTAGAAACACAGATACAGGAAACACCTCACTTTCTAACATATGTCATAACAACGCATGTGAGCAGGCTTATCATATATATGTACGGAGGTACATATATATTTCTAGCATGGAGTTCCTTCTGTTTCTAACCATGCTCCTCCTGTCTTTAGATTCCAGAGTAGTCAGTGAGGCCTCAGCATGAATAATTACGTTTGCAATAATTTATGTTACATCATCAAGAAAAATACGGAATCTTGATTCCTCCACACAGTTTCCCCCCTTCCTCTTTCCCATCTCCGTCTTCCTCCTCCTCCTCTTCCTCCTCCTTTCCTTTTTAATAGTCTTCCGGTTTAGTAAGACTAGGCAATAATTCTAGACTGTAATTTATCTAGCTGTATAATTCAGTTGATCAACATGTAATTTTGACTCTCATAAACAAGGAGAAGAAAACTCATGCTACAGTCAGGAAGCACTTGAACAAAGGGAAGAAGTAGCTGACTTTGAATGGGGATTAAAAACAGAGACCTTGATTGCCAGGGAGGTTCGGACCCCTCTCCACAGGAAGCTTTGTAGTGGGATCTAGTCTCCTCTGTCTGGATTTGGAACACTAGCCTGCCTTTTTCCATGTGGGCAAAGCTCTCGTGAGCTGCCCACCCCTGTGATGGAGCAAACAGAGCCTTGCTGTGACACAGCATCCCTGATAACAGCAAGCCAACGAAGAAAAGAACACGTCGTTAGCCACACCACGTGTCGCCTTGCATGCTGGTGCTGGGTTTTAGCCTCTGACATTGTTTTCAGCAGGGCATCTTTAGATGTATTTTCCAGTCCAGACACAAGAACAGCATGACCCGAAGCCAAAAATGACAGGGAGACTATAAGATTACCAGTGGCCTGTGCAGGAAAGTTCTCTGTGTGCGTTTGCCAGACAGATGCTTGGCGGGGGGGGGGGGGGGGGGGCTGAGAAGGTTAGGAGGTCCCTGAAGCAATATGGGGTGTTTTGTTTTAACAGACCAAAATTGTGGGAGTTATTTGTATACCCAAGAGGTCCCCACATCCCAGAATGTGAAAATATTTACATGCAGGGCAAGTGGGAAACCTTTCCTTCAGAGTCCTGCAGTGTACCCCACCGAGTCTGCATTCTGGTCTTTTCCACAATGTGACAATTACAGGAAAAGCTGGACCTCTGTCCTCGAACATGAAACAGGATCTTTCTCTGTTTATTTTTCCACAGAAAACTCAAAGGCTTTGTTAGTAGCACTGTGGAAAGTCTTCAGAAAAGTGAAAACCCTCCTGGCAGCTTTGAAAGTTAAGATTAGTTTCTCTCTGAACACAGAGAGACCAAGGAGATGGTTCAATCATATACAAGCAGGAGGACCTGAGTTCAGAGCCCCAGCACCCATGTAGAACGCTACTCATGGCTATGTACGCCTGTAATCTTAGTTCTGGGGAGGAAGAGACGAGAGGATATTGTAGGCTTGTTCGTCAGCAAGTCTAGCTAAATCACTGATCTCCAGATTCAGAGAGTGACGCTATCTCAAAGAATAAGGTAAAGAGAATTGAGGAAGACACCTGACATTGACCTGTGGCCTCTATATATGTATATATATCGGGACACGTAACAGCACACATACAGACAGAGAGGGGAGGGGCTGCAATGGGAGAAGACAGGGAGGAAGAGCGGAAAGGGTGGAGAGAGAGAGGGAGCGGTCGAGGTACTAGAAGCTACAGCTCCAAAATGTAAATCCTGGGGAAAAGAGTTAGCAACTGTAGCTGTGTCTCTGGTGGTGTCTCACGTCACCACTTTGTGAGGCAGGGAGAGCATTGGTTACGTGCCTGGTCAGGAACTACAGCCTGTACTCCCAGGTGGGGTGGATGTACACACTGGCATTTTATTTTTAAAATCCCACCCCAGAACTAGCTGTCAGGAGGGGAGAAAGTGACACCTGGTTCTGTTGTTCACGCTGATATGTTTTCTAAGTGGATCTGATAAGTTCCGGTGTCACCCTGGTCTAACTCTCTTAAGATCCCCTAGGCAAGCAATTCTGGACCAGGTTGCTTTTAAAGTCTTCAAGAAGTCATTTCATTTTTTTTGTTGTTGTTGTTTTGACTTGACCAGTAAAGGGAAAGCGACTGGGGGTGGGGGACGCTCCCTCCTCCCCGTTGTAATCGGATCTAAACCGGGGCTTCTTTCTTTCTTTCTTTCTTTCTTTCCTTCCTTCCTTCCTTCCTTCCTTCCTTCCTTCCTTCCTTCCTTCCTTCCTTCTTTCTTTCTTTCTTTCTTTCTTTCTTTCTTTCTTTCTTTCTTTCTTTTTCTTTTAATTTCCTTTAAGGCACAGAAGCAGATGGTTTTCTCCACAATATTTTTCTTTGATCGAGAAGTGAATGAGGGTTTTTCTTGAGGGTCAAGCAATGCTTCCCTAAAGTTGCCAATTTAAAAACCCCAAGTTGTGTGTCTTTGAGCAGCATTCCTTTATAATAAACACTGGTTGTACATCCAATCCACCCTGTGGGTCTTGCAGAATCAGGCCAGACTTGCTGAGAAGTTTAATGTTACTTGGGAATGGGGCATTTCTTAGTGCTTATCAGTTGAAACACAATCTTCAAAGTGTGTTCCCTTTCTAGGAAGCTCCTCCAGCTGTAAAAATTTCCAGGGAAATTGCCAGTAGACTGTGTTGATTCTGCGGTCCTCTTGTATTTAAGTGTTCCATCAGCTTGCTGTAACCTGAAAAGTAACGAGCATGATAGGTGCCAAGCCCAGAGGCTGTGGTGGGCTCTGTCCCTTTGTCCTCAACAAAGTGTGTGAGACAGGGACCATTTGTTCCCCTCATTTCAGAGACAATCAAACCGAAGCTCAGAGAGCTGAACAAAATTCTGTTTTTATTGAGACCACCTTTAAACAATTGAATCAGAGGGTTTTGTGTGCTGCTTACACTGCCTCTCCCTCCCCTGATGTCGCCAGCAGTCCCTGTCACTTGGGGATCTGTGTTCATCCTTTTCCACCTCTCAGATAATGCTGACCCTTGAAATAATTGGCATTAAACTTTGTGGAAGCATTTAAGGACCAAGTTGAGTTTGAAACTGTCACATCCCCTTGCTTCCCCCTTAATGTAGTATATAAGCTGTTAACATAGCTTGTAAAATAGAGTTGTGTGATAGTCTCAGGGCCACACAGCATGGTTCCATCTTGAGCAATGACTATTTGAATGGCATCACTGCTGCGTGGGCAGACACCTTCCCTGCTTGGTGGCATGTCCTTGCTGCGGCACTCCAGACATGTGTACAGAGATAGCATGTTGCTGAAGGCTACCTCTCCTGTTGTGCATCACACAGAGTCAGTGGGACAGCCTGAGCAATGGATAGCCTCTGCAGGACCCAGTGCAGACACTAGGAGACATCCAGAGAGTAGACACTCACCTTTCTGCATCTTAGGAGCTTTCTGCTAATTGTCCCTTTCCCTCCTAGAAACAGTCCCTATTTCTCTAGTAGGAAAAGGAACATTTGTAGTCCTTCCCACTGTCAACTCACTCTTCTAAGCTTGACTAATGAGAGAAAAGCAGGAGATAACATCCCCTGGGCCAGAATCTCCCCAGGATTACTTACAGTGTCTGAGACCTTCTGGTAAATATTCCTGATAGATGCTTGAAGCAGCAGCCCTGGCTTCTAGCTATTGTTGATTCTTGATGGTAAAGCAGGCTCATGCATCAAGTTTTTGCTTTTCTTCTAGCTGCTTACCTGGCCTAGAAGGCAGCTCATTTGTGTCTGTATGTATCAAACTCACAGTGAAAGCTGACACAGAACAGAACCAGAGGAGTGCATGCTTTGGGAAGGTGGGGGTGGGGGGTGGTACAGCTTGAAAGAGACAGCCTAGCTATAGTGAGTTTACTCTGCTTCTCTTAAACTACCCTTTCTAATCCCTCAGTACAGCAACCTCAATAGAAAGTATGCCTGGCCTGGGGCTGTAGCTCTGCTGGTAGAGTGTTCATCCAGCGTGTGTGAGACCCTGGGTCCCATCCCTAGCCCCACAAAAACTGGACGTGGTAAAGCACACATCTGTAGTCCCAGCACTTGAGAGGTGGAGGCAAATGGATCAGAAATTCAGACTCATTCTCAGTTACAGTCAGTTTGAGGCCAACCTGAACTCTGAGATCCTGTCTTTTTTTTTTTTAATCAAGTAAATAAATAAAAACAGAATACACATCTACTGAGCTTTAGAAATCTTCCCCATGTCTAAAGGGAGTCAAACCTGGCTCAGGAGAAAGGAAGCCCGGGCTCGATGTGATTACTGTCACCATGCAATACAGCTCAGGAATGGGCTCTTCTGTTTGGTAAATATACATACCAGTTTTATAAAATCTGATCACTCTAAAATATGCTCAATACTAATTAATACTAATGGTGTACTTTGCACTCACAAAGAGGGATGTATCAAAGCGGCCTGGGCACACTGTGGGATCAGTAAGTGCTGCTTGAATGAATATCACAACTGTCCCACAGAGTTCAATCTGAGGACAAGCTATTCCTATCAGGTAGCTTGGGATTCAGATGAGCTAGACCCTCAGAAAAGATAAACACACCAGGAAGGCATTATGCTATCCCGGTGAGCCACAGGCTTGCTTAATGAGGCTGTGGGCATTTTTGTAGTCATTTTACAGGAAGGTAAATCAACTAAATTCCGTACTTCACCAGACACAGGGGTTCCAAATAGAAGTGGAATTTTCCTAGCTGGACTTCCAAAGGGCACAAGAGAAATTTTCCACCTAGAGCAGGCTTCAATGGCAGGATACCTCATAGACCTTCCCTCTCCTGACTTTGCCTCTGCAGATTGGATTCCAGATTCGCACACGTGTGCAGGACCTTGGCCATGGCTGTATCTTCCTGGTGCAGAAGGCGGGGGCCCTCCAGGTGTGCCCCACAGACAGCTACACCAAGAGGGAGCTGATCGAGTGTGCTCGCTCTGTCACTGAGAAGGTAAGGGGGTCCCCTCTGGGTAAGATGAATATAGCCATTGTACTGAACACTGACATTTAATGTGACCAGCTCTGATGGGGACGAAATCAAAATGTATGCAGCTAAGACAGCTGTCTCCATCACTGCCTAGGTCCTTCTCAGTGAGGATGGTATCACAGAGCCTTCTGTGATCCACAGGACTTGAGAAATCCAGGATAAAACAGAGGCAGCCTTGGGAAAGTCAAGGGCCCCCTTGCAGGTGGCCCTACCAAAGTCAATGTCAGGAGCCAGCCAGGAGAAGGCTGAAGCCACGGCCTTCCCCATAACAGTTGCTCTCCTTTCGTGGAGAGTTTCTAAGTGCTGTGAGCTGGTACCAAAAAATTGAAAAAGCGAGATAGAGCAATTCAGGCTGAAGTCCCAGCATAGGGAAGGCTGATGCTGGAGAACCAGACTGGGTTATAGTGAGTCCCTGACTCCAGAGGCAAAAACAAACAAACAGAAGACTGAAAGCCGCTTGGTGTGTAGCCTCCTCATTACTATACCATGAAGCAGCGCGGGTTCCGTGCCTTTAGATAGTAACCTGATGGACCATAGTCGAGGAGACGCCTGCCCTGAGCGTCTGAACCTCAGAGCTGCTGCTGCTCTTGAGGAAGATTGTCAGGAGTGTGGCCAGCAAGACTTGAAGAGCGTCTCAATTACGTCACCTTTCCAAGCCTTGAGTCCTTCATCCAGAAAATGAGCACACGAATTTATAATCTGTGACTCTCAGGATCAAGGTGTGTAAAAGTGTCTGGCACTCTGCCAGGTATGTAAACATCGAACAGATACGAGCCACTGCCCACTGTATGCTTTCCTCAAAAATTCCTTCCTCCCAGGATGTTGGTTTCCCTGGCTAACAAGGGCCCCATTGGACCCACCCTTCGTGATAGCTCTTTCGTTCTGCCCCTGTCTGCAAACCCCTGGCTTTGTTTCTATATTGGAGTCCTTGTGTGGCAGCTGTTGCGGCTGCGAGTCGCACAGACTGGAACATCCACGCTCTGCAGTTCCTCTTCACGCCTGTGCACATAGAGCTCTGTATTGTTCAGAGACTTGGCCACCAGGCTGGAGGGCTGGGCCGAGGAAGCGCTCAGTGGGAAGCTGCATACAGAGGCTGCTCTGTCAGCCAGTCCTGGACAAGGCTGAGCTGCCATCTGCCTACCTCCCCCAGCCCACGGGACTGGCCAGCTTCTGGGCTCTACAGTAAGAATTAAATCTCTGCTGGAGGAAGGCACCTTTCCTTCCTTCAAAGGCCTTACCCGGCTCCCAGGAGCCCCAAGCTGCAGTCAGGGTCATTTGGAGTCAGCCTTGGTCTCACTGCTTCTTAGAGCAGAGCAGCCCGACTTTGGACACACGGAGGAAGACAGAGGTGGAGAGGTGGCCAGTTCCTAGCAACCAGCCTTTTGGCCATCTCTTGCTGCAGGTCACTGTACCTGTGTATCTTGTCATTCCTACATCTCTTGGGTTATAAATAGAGTATCCTCCACCCATGAGCCCCTTGCCTACTTTTGTGTCAGACCCAGTGACTACTAGATGCCCAGTCAGTAAATACCTGTTGTTTATACACCTTCCACAGTGGGTGGGGGAACTGTTTCTCTCTCTCTCTCTCTTTCTCTCTCTCTGTCTCTCTCTCTGTCTCTCTCTCTCTCTCTCTCTCTCTCTCTCTCTCTCTCTCTCTCTCTCTCTCTCTTCCTCCCTCCCTCTCTCTCTCTCTCTCTACTTCTCTCTCTCTCTGTCTCTCTCTGTCACACACACACACACACACGCACACACACCTCATAACTTCCAGCCCTTTGTCACCCATCCTAAGAGTTCTTTCCTAAAGCTATTGGCTTCATTTCCAGACCAGCTCTGTGCCAGTCTTAACTCTTCTTTTCCTGGTGACACCTAGTGGCATTTAAGGAAGGGTCAGACAGAGGAGGGGCTGTCCTAGTTTAATTTCTTGCTTTGATAAAATACCCTGAAAAAAAGCAACTTAGGGGAGAGAAGGCTCAGAATTTGGGTTACTGTTCATTGTAGGGGGATCACAGCCACGGGAACTTAGAACAACTGGTCGCATCACATCCAGAGGGAAGATGAGGAGTGGATACCTGCTTGCTTAGTGCTCAGCTATCTTTCTCTACTCTCACACAATCCAGGGTTCAAAACCAGGGAGCGGTACCACCCACCGTGGGCTCACCTCAGTTAACCCAGTTAAGGAAAAATCCAGAACTGGAGAGTTAGCTCCATGGCGAAGACATCAGTTCCTCTTGCAGAAGACCTGGGTTTGAGTCCCAGTACCCACATGATGGCTCACAACTATCTGTAACGCCTGTTCCAGGGGGTACAACATCATCTTCTGGCCCCTTTGCATACAAATAAAATTAAAAAGGAAGAAACCCCTCGCAGTAGGTCCTCAAGCCAACCTGATAGACATTCCCATGCAGAGACACTCTTCCCGGGTGACTCTAGGTCATGGCAAGTTGGCAATTTAAATCACCCGTCCCTGGAGAAGACACAGTTCTTTTTAGGCTTCTCTTGGAGAAAATGATTCCTGTGTCCATCCTGCCAAACTATACCCACAAGTCTCCTGAGACCTGAGGGGCACAGGAAAGAGCATCCCACACTGTGCCTCGTATGCCACGGCTCCTCTGCTGGCTCGTCATGCTTCAGAAAGTATATTTGCCTTATAGTCGCAGCACTGAGGAAGCAGGGGCAGGCAGATCTGTGTGGTTTAGCAGAATCCGTGAGCTTTCAGTGAGAGATCCTGTCCCATCCTGTGCATCCCACCCTGCCACCACAGGGTGGGATGGACAGTTTGATGAGCAACTGAAGAATAAACCCAGGGGGCTGATCTCAGCCTTCTGCTACACACACACGCACATGTGCACACACACACACACGCCACAGAGGGAGAGAGACAGAGACATAGAGAACACACACATGTTTAAAAAGCATTTATGTGAGTCAGCCATGATCAAGAATAGCGAGCATATACAGGCAGAGAGCAAAGAGCCTTCAGCTGCTCTGTGACTCACTGTTTTTAATCTATAGGACAATGGGCCATCTTGAGGACAGGAAGAGTGTGCTTAGAATCCTTGGACAGAGATGCCTCTCTGCAAAGAGAGTAGAGAGCCATCCTGGAGGGGACCTGGAGCTGTATCTCACAGGATGAGTACATCAGTGCTGCAGGAAGAGAGCAAAGCAGTGACCAAGAGTAGGAAGGCAGATGAATATGTGGGGGCCTAAGTAGCTGGCAGACATGGGGAATGGTGGACCAATGGGCACGTATGAAGAGAGTGTGGGGCTCTGGCTATAGAATCATCTCTAGGAACAGAAAGGGCTGACAATAGAAGCTGGCATCCAGGGCTTCTGATATGGAATGTGCTGGAATGAAGCGCTTAGCCGACTTGCTGGACCTTCAGGACTGTATTGCTACCTAGAGGTAGGCAGTGCCATGCCGAGGCCCCAGTGGGATCCACTCTGGAAAGTGACCTGTCCCGCATGGCCAGGTGAACAATGAATATTTGTGGAAGTTGTTCCTTCCAGACCTAACCAAAAGGGTGGGAACTGCCACCCATACCTCAGGAGCCTAAACTTGATCCCTGAGCACGGCGTCAGAAACAACATGGTGACCTGGTGAGCACTGCCATCCAGGGACTAGTCATAACCTTCAAACACCGTACTGGACGCTTTGCACATGTTAAGTTGTAATTAACTGTTTCACATTCAAAGAGACTGAGGCTTGGTACAGTGAAGTGGGCTGCCTACAGTCCGGTCGCCTTCGAATGCCAAAAGGATTCAGACCCAGGTTCTGTGCTCTAACCTGATGCTGTTAACCTCTGAGCCATATCAGCTCTTAAGAGAGAGAACTGTGTCTTTTCAGTGGTGGTACACTTTTCTGTCTTGTATTATCCATTCCCTGGCTCCCCCTTACGTCACCTTTTCTACCTTACAGGTGTCCTTGGTGCTGTCTGCTCTCCAGGCTGGAAACAAGGGGACCCAGGCATGCATCACGGCTGCCACTGCAGTTTCTGGGATCATTGCTGATCTGGATACCACCATCATGTTTGCAACAGCTGGGACGCTGAATGCAGAAAATGGCGAGACCTTTGCTGACCACAGGTACTGGGGGAGACTCTAGCCTGCATATATCTAAACCAGGTGGTCGCATTTGGTCACCTTGCCCAGGACTCAGAAATGTCGGCATCCACTTTGAGATCAACAAGATTCTCTGTGGGAAATGTAAACCACAGGTTCGGAATAAGCCCCTTCTCCAACAAAGGCTAGCTTTCAGGGAGTTGCCGCTCTGACTGCCCACAGACCCAGCAGGACCAGGAGAGGCAGGGACAGCCATATTTAGCAGTCACTTCCCAAAGCCTGGTACCTCCCTCGAGCCTTCATTAAACGTACTGGTGCTGGCAGCTCTATAGATTTACTTCTGATGACCCCTAAACTCTCATCACGTGTCCAGGCCCTTTCATCTCTCCAGCCCGAGGGCTGTGATAGAGTGAAGATTCTCTGTGCTCTGCTGTCTGTTCTGGAGCCTGTCCCCACAAGCTCTGATTCCTAAACAAGATGTACAAGCTATGCACCCTTGCAACCCAATTCGGTTGGGAAATATCTGAAGAGATTGCAGACCCTAGGAAGATGCTGTGCCCCTCTCTTCTAAGTTGAGCTCTCCTCTGAAGCTGTGTTCCTACTCCGCTGGCTCTAGCTACTGTTTGAGCTTCCAACCTCACATACATAGAACACTCTCCTCCCCTCGAGAGCTGGGTGGATCACTCAGGCCTCTCTTCCCAAAGCCCCCCTTGAAGGAATTTCCTTCCTTCCCAACTGCAAGTGAGTAAGTTTTGTTTTGTTCGGTTTCTCCTGTCTCTCTGGCCTCCCTGCTTTCTAAGGGAGAACATTCTGAAGACAGCCAAGGCCTTGGTGGAAGACACTAAACTGCTTGTGTCAGGGGCTGCATCTACTCCAGACAAGCTGGCCCAGGCAGCTCAATCCTCAGCAGCAACCATCACCCAGCTTGCCGAGGTGGTCAAGCTAGGGGCCGCCAGCCTGGGCTCCAATGACCCTGAGACCCAGGTATGAATGGGGCCTGGGAACTGCCTTTCTCCTTTTCCCATAGATACTGCTTCAGGCTTCCGAACGGGGTAAAAGCAAATATCCTTGGAAGTAAACTCTGTGTGTGTGTGTGTGTGTGTGTGTGTGTGTGTGTGTGTGTGTGTGTTTGTTAAAGAAGCTGATAGGAAGATTTGCAAGGAACCTAGTCAGCCAGGCCTGGTGAACAACTGGCTGCAGAAGATGTGGGTGGGATAAAGGGGAAGTAGGAGAGACAAGTGTCCCATGTCCAGGCGGGAACAGTATATGAAGTTTCATGAAGCAAGAGAACGGAAGTGTTAGGGGGACAAAGGAGGGGGAGGAGGGCTCTTAAAGAGAGAGGAACTGGAAGGACGGGCAGGCTCTGCTCTGTGACTTCTGTTGGGGAGGTGGCAGTTTTGCTGAGATGACCCACCTGAGCTTAGGGCCCTCCAGATGACAGCCTCTGCAGTTTTCCGAGTCTGAAACCAGCACTTGTCTATGGCAGCGCCTGGCACAGGCCAGATACACAGCAGCTGATGCTCCAGTGGTCCTGAGCTCAGTTCCCCAGAGCCCGCAGTAGAGCATCTTGTACTCCCCTGTGCTTGTATTCCCGGTAACAGAACAGTAAACACCCTCATGCCAATGCCTGCACTGGGCCTGCAATCTAGTCTACTGGGCTTGACCAAGCTAGAGAACACTTGCCCTTCAGGACCCAGGGGGACACAACGACTGTACTAATTAACCCTCCCCTTCCCTGACCACCTTACCACTGTCCTCCGAGACAGTGGAGCCCCATGAGGAACGCTTCTTGGGATTTTTATCCTGGCTTGGTTTCCTCTGACTGGCACTGGAATCTGTTTCGGTTTGAACGGTGCTTCTGCAGGAACCTGAGGTGGCTGTCCCACCCTGCTGGGGAGGAAGGAAGGAAGCAAAGGCTGGAATCACTGTTGCTGAAGTTGGAAGGCAAAGTCCAAGCTCTTCTCACTCAGCTGGTTGTGAGGAGAAAGAGCGGGATCTTTCTTTCCACACAGAGAAATGTGTCGAATTGCCATGTTTTGTTTTGTTTTTTTCCCCTTTGAGAACATTTAATTTTAAAAGTTATGTTAGGCACTGAAAGTAGAGATTCCCAAAGTGAGTTCTTCCAGCCATCCTGAACCTTCAGTGACTCCTGGCGTGTCCTTCTGCCTTCCCCTTCTGTGCAACCTCGTCCCCAAATCTTACTTGTATTTGTTGGGGTGAAAACACTTAGCATGTTCTTTGCCTCCAAATACCTGTAACTGCGACTTATAATGAGAACTCACTTAAAAACAAATAGCCGGGCAGTGGTGGCATGGATTCTTTAGAAAGAGCATGGATTCTTTAGAATCCAGCCCTAATGGCCGGGCGGTGGTGGCACACGCCTTTAATCCCAGCACTTGGGAAGCAGAGGCAGGCGGATTTCTGTGTTCAAGGCCAGCCTGGTCTACAGAGTGAGTTCCAGGATAGCCAGGACTACATAGAGAAACCCTGTCTCGAAAAACCACAAAAAAAACAAACAAACAAACACCTGAGGCCAGTGAGATAACTCAGCTAGTAAAATGCCCGCTTTATATGCCTGAGAACCCGAGTTCCACTCCCAGAACCCACAGGGATGCAAGAGAAGAAGCCAGCTCCACAGGGTAAGGGTTAGGGTTAGGGTGACTGCCACACCTACATGGTGGCATAATACACTAATAATAATAAATTAAAATGTTTAATAAGCATCTTTAAAAATCTGCTCAGAAAACAATGTCCCCTCTGCATGTCAATTACCTGTCAAGTAACCAGGATGGGACAGAACTTCCTGTTAGTGTGAGCAGCAGCCCTGACTTGTGATGCCCCTCTCTCCTGCTGCCCCTCTTCACTGATGAAGGCTCAGGAGAGAGGCAGACCTTCACAAGGCTCAGCCTGTGGGTGCAGGAGGTTGCCTGGGGTCCCTCTGCCCTGTGTGTGATGTGCCATGACAGAGGGTGTGGAGGATGGCAGAGGGCTGCAGAGCCACAGTTTTTCTCTGTCACTGCTGTCTGGAGCTCTGGAGCCTTCCAAAGGCTTTTATGTGTGTTGTTAGCATTTGGTCTAGGCTCTGCCCCATAGTTACCTGACAACAGCCAGGTGTGCCTGACTCACTCCAAAAGGGGCTACTCACCCCTCAGTTCTCTCTTTTGCTCTCTTCTGACTCTCACTCTATCCTTTCACCCCTCCCCCTCTGTTCCCATCCCCCTCCACATTCCCCTCTCCCCTCTCTCCAAGTGCTCATGGCTGGCGTTTTCTACTCTCCTCTCTCCATCTCTCTCCCTTCCCCCCACCCCTTGTCTGTCTCTACTACTGTCTCAGCTCCCCTTCCCATGCCCTGAATAAACTCTATTCTATCCTGTACCGTGTGGCTGGTCCCTCAGGGGGAAGGGATGCCTCAGCATGAGCCTGCGAAGGCACCCTTTCCCCACACCTGACTACACATCTACTAAGCAGATTCCTTCTCTCCTTATCTTTTTATAAAATACAACATTTGTTATCCCAGTTGGTCCTCGCAGCGACTGGATGAGTTGGGAGAGGCTGGCACTGCTAATTCTGCTTGTAGATGAGCCAACCCAAGAGTGTGGTGGGGAAGCCTGGGATACTTAGCATCATGCTGACCAGAGTCTGTTCCAAACCCACCACTCCTGGCTCTAGAGCAGTGACCCAGTTCATATCAGTTTTCCCTTTGACTGGCACTTCAGATTCCAACTCCAGCAATAGCGATAGGTCCTATCTGGGATGGAACAGCCACCTGTGTCTTCATCTATTCCTCAAGATTCTCTGCCAGCTATGTGGCAGACCATGCTCTAAGGATGAAACGAAATCGGCCCTGTTCTAGCCTCATCAGGTCACAGGAGGACTTAGATTGTAGATAAGTGAATAAATTAAATGGCACCATGAACTAATACTACTGTAGGATAAAATGGGACCGTCAGACAGTGGTTTGGTGTTTAAGAGTTAGGCCCTTTGCTAGCTCTCTTGGGACATACACTCAAGCTGAACCCAGAGAATGGAAAGAGCCAGGTTCCAGGTAAAGGAGAGCAGAAGTGAGGGCCTTAAGCAGAGAGGAAATGAGACTTCCCAGTAGGAAGAAAGACCCATGTGTCTGAACCCGTGATGGGGCAGAGAATCGCAGGAACCAGGGCTGTAGAGGCAGGCAGAGTGCTGTGGAAGCCTTAATGCCCGGCAGGATACTGATGTTCTGTGCTTTGGGGTGAGGGATGATGCCCATTGTATCTGCTCTAGCAAGCAGCCTTTACCCAGTCAGAGGCAGCTTGTTGGCAGAACTGGCAGCAAGGAGGCTGTGTATTCAGAGCCCAGCATCAGCATCAGTCTCTGCTTCAGTGTCAGGGTAGACATTTAGTTTTCAACCTCAGCCTTAGCATGAGTCTCAGCAGCAGGAGTGGGACCAGCCTCTGTATTAGATTACCATCATTAGCTGCAGCAGCAGCCTTCCTGAACCACACCGTCTCCAAGGGTGGCTTCCTGGGTGGTGTTGTCATGGTGAAGGATATGAAGCCGCTGATACAGAGACTCCTCCATCCCGCATCCTTGCACCCTGTCGGCCATCAGCAGTGAAGGTCATCCCCCATTCACCAGGCTCCCACTCTTTCAGGTGGTACTGATAAATGCTATCAAAGACGTGGCCAAGGCCCTTTCCGATCTCATTGGTGCTACCAAGGGAGCTGCCAGCAAACCAGCGGATGACCCCTCCATGTACCAGCTCAAAGGAGCCGCCAAGGTAGAGTGGGTCTCCAGCTGGGGCTGAGCATGAGGGACTCAATAAGCCAGGCTGCTGGGAAGAGGAACATCTGAGATTCTTCCCTGTGCGAAGGAAGGAGATCTCTTTTATGCCATTTGGTCTGGAACTGGAACTGCACCTCTGAGTAACAGTGTACTCTCTGCTTATCTCTCCCATGCAGGTCATGGTCACCAATGTCACCTCCCTTCTTAAGACTGTGAAGGCAGTAGAAGACGAGGCCACCCGAGGCACAAGGGCTCTTGAGGCCACAATCGAGTACATAAAACAGGAGCTCACAGTGAGTACCTAGCAGCTGCCACCCTCAGCTAGCTCACCCTATACAACATGACTGCCACACAGGCTTCTCTCTGCATCTTCAAGAGCTTTTACCTAGAGCCTCTGGACTGGGAAGGCTCACTCATCTGCCTTCTGGTGGCATTTGCAGTTGGTTACCTGTAAGTCACTGAGTGTGGCTAGGATCTATTGGGACTATTTGTTTGTGAATCAAGGTTTCATGGGTTCAGGATGGCCTCAAACTTTTGTGTCACTGAGGGTAACCTTGAACTTCTGATCCTCCTGCCTTACCGCCTACATGCTGGAATACCAGGTGTATACCACCATGCCTGGTTTTATGAAGATGCTGAGGACTGACTCCAGGGCTCCATGCGTGCCTGGCAAACACTACTGATCTGTATCCTAGCTATGATTAACCCTCCATCCTCAGTATTGACATGTATCACTAAGGACAGTTCAGGCTTCACTCCATCAAAATGACAGCGTGACACTGAAGTGTGAGAGATCTTTGGCCACGAGGAAAGTCAGTTTGCACAAGCCTTGTGTTTGGGTAATGGAGACCATATGCATCCCTCCTTGTTGTGTTGCCCTTGCGCACATGTGAGTGGCAGTTTGAGGTTCACTGTTGGGGAAAGGCCTAGATGCTTTTGAGTGAGACACTCTTCCTCTTTGAGGTGTCTCTCTTTAGAGGCACCAGCTCTGTTCATTCTTGCCTTGTTCTAGCCCTGTAGAGTTCCGGGCACCTGGAATTCCTACCGTAGAGATGTTCTCTGTTTCCTCTGTGTTTGACACAGTTGTACACCAACTCCTAATCTCCACAAGTAGAACTGCACAGGAAATAAGTGGTCTTCCCGTAGCATTTCTTTGTAGTAGGTATGCCCACAGGTAGACTTTTTAGGAGATATGCAAGCCTCTATAGGGTCATCTGTGAAGGTGACATCAGGGGCAGCACTAGAAATGAGCAACTCCACTGGTATTAGGATGAGTCTTGGCTCCTTTCGCCCTGCCTTGAATGGCGCTAGCTTAGGGGATACAGTTAGTTCACAGTTTTAAAGAAGATACTAATGAACGCATAAGCAACTCAAAAGCAGACGATGCCTCGAGGCATACTGTATGGAGGCCATGGGATGAGTGTGTCCTATCTGGGGTCCAGATACAGGTTCAGACAGCTGTTGGTTCCCCCATGGTGACAATGGAGGGGAAGGTTTGGAATTTAGACTATCCTGGGAAATTACAGATACTTGGTCATTGTGAGTATATCATACTGGCTTAGAAATCATCCACACCGTGAAGTTGGAAGGATGGGAGACAGCTCAGCTGTTAAAACCCTTGAGTACAAGCCTGAGAACAGGAGTTCAGAACCCCAGAAACCCACATAAATACCAGCACAGCAGCTCAACTGCAACTCCAGCCTTGAAAGGTAGATACAGGGCAACCCCAGAGCAAGCAAACCAGCAACACTAGCCGTATCAGTGAGCTCTGGGCTTGATTAACAGACCTGCCTCAGTGAATACTGTGGAAGACTGGATGTTTCCTGACATCAGCCTCAGGCATACACATATCCATGCACATGTGTGCACATACACAGGCAAAAAATAAACATGCTACACACAAACACACGTACCGCCCACACGCATGTGAAAGATGGAAAATAACATAGGTAAATAAAAGTTAGTGAATTCACCCAAAGTGTTTCCACAGATCCTGTGCGTGGAGAGCACAGTAGTTTGGAGGACTCTGTGTCACATCATCTCACTGTCGTCCCTCAGGTCTGCACAGGGGACTTACAGTCCTGAGGTACTTACTTGTCACTGCCATCTGTAAGGAGCAGTGATGTTTGATTGGTTGGCACATGGCAAGAATGCTGCATGGGTCCTCCTCCTTACTCAGGGGAAGCAGAAGCAGCTTGCCTGACTAACATGAAGTTATTGAAGTGTCTATGAATGTGAGTGTGTGTGTGTGTGTGTGTGTGTGTGTGTGTGTGTGTGTGTGTATGTGTTTAAATCAGAGTCACTGATTTCTAAGACAAGCTAAGGACCAAATGCTTCCCCACTCTCACACCCATGGAAAGTGAGCAGGAAGTCATCCAAAGTGATGTCTTCAAGTTAACCCTGCCCAGGAGCCCACATCAGGGCGGAAAAGGGCAGTATATAAAGTTTGGGTGGTGGTATTTGCAAATAGATAAGGTAGCACTTTAGAAACCTCTTTCCTAGCCGGGCAATAGTGGTGCATACCTTTAATCCCAGCACTCGAGAGGCAGAGGCAGGTAGATCTCTGAGTTCGAGGCCAGCCTGGTCTACAGAGGGAGTTCTAGGACAGGCAGGGGTACACAGAGAAACCCTGTCTCAACAAAACAAAACAACCTCCTCCTTGCCATATTGTTTCCACGGAAGTCAAGTGTCAGTGTAAGAGGCTTGTCCATATTGGCATCTTGAAAGCAAGACCCACTTTACCACCCTCAAATTAGATGGCTAATTTCCTGCCATGTGACAGTCTCCAGCTTGCTACCTTGGTTCCCAGACACTAATGGCAGCCCAGTTGAAAAAGAGTTATCTTTGTCCTTTCCTTTTTGACTTTCATGTCTTCTGTCTCTGACTTCAAGGTGTTCCAGTCAAAAGACATACCTGAGAAGACATCATCACCCGAGGAATCAATACGAATGACGAAAGGTATCACCATGGCAACAGCCAAAGCCGTGGCAGCTGGGAACTCATGTAGACAGGAGGATGTGATTGCCACCGCCAATCTGAGCAGGAAGGCTGTCTCAGACATGTTGATAGCTTGCAAGGTAAAGACCCGGGCATGGCTGTGGATAGATGAATAGATAGCTTTCTGTTGCAAATGACTCGTTCGGTGTTCTGGAGAAGGGAAACTGGAATAGAAGCAGAGAGTAGTCCCACACCTTAAACTTTGCTGTAGACAGACATGCAGAAAACACAGTTTACAGCAGCCTGGGTAAAGGTTTCCCCTGAAACAAGGAAAGGGGGAAGTTTGCTTTGACTCACAGTCCAAAGGTCCAGATATGGTAGCAAGAGCCTAAGGCAGCTGGTCACCGTAGCCACAGTCTAGAGGAGAGATGAACTCTGGTGCTTGGCTTGTGTTCTCTTTTACTCTGTCCAACACCACAGCCCATAGAATGATGCCACACTCATTTAGGGTGAGTCCTCCCACCTTAGATGTGCCTCTAGAATCTCCCTCACGGATGTGCCCAGAGAGCCTCCTAGATGATTCTAAATCTCATCAAGTTGGCAATTAAGATTACCCATCACAGGTTTCAGTGCCCGCATAATTACCCATCACAGGATTCAGTGCCCGCATAATTACCCATCACAGGATTCAGTGCCCGCACAGGGCACCTCTGGGGCTTGGAAGAGCTGTGATGTAGGTTCTCTAGTTTTGTTCTAAATGAGAAGATCAAGGGAGTGACTCCAGCCTGTCAGGTGTCAAACAGGGGCCCAGGCAGACTCAAGGCCAAGGTCAGAACTAAAACCAGAACTTGCAGAACCAGAGCTCAACCAGCTTTCTGACTCTCTGGCCAGCATATGCTTGCCTGTGGCCTTCCAGGCCTGTTGCTCAAGGCTGCTGTGGTTGGTGGGAGATTGATAGACTCTTGTGTCTGTGCATTAATTACTTTTTCTCATTGCTGTAACATCCCTTTCTCCCCACGTACCCAGACAACTAAAGAGAAGAGATGCTTGTTTTGGTTCCCAGTTTTAGGGGGTAGCAGCTGACCTGGCTGGTCCCCGGCAAAGGGAGCTGTGACATGACTTGTTATATCGTAAAGGATCTGAAGGGATTGATTCAAGGACCATACCCTAGTGATGTAAATCTACCACCTAGCCCTGTGTCCCAGGGGATACAAAACCTCCCCCAAACAGCACAGCAGCAGTTGGGGAAGAAGTGTTGAAGCCTGTTGGTGGCACTACCTATTCAGACTGTAACAGTCATCCTGTCATCAGAAACACGGCTAAAGCGGAAACGGAACGTAGTGCACATTTTGTAGTCTCTCTTAGAGGGGTTCCCCGGTGTACAGGCAGGAGGTTGGGGAGAAAAGTGAGGCCACCGTGTAGCCTTGGCTCATTCTGGATCTTGGCTTTGCAGAGTTAGGAGAGAGCTCTGACACACTTGTCTCACACGTGGAGCCCTACATGACAGCAAGTGTCACTGCTGATGCCTGAGCCGCTTACAAGGACAGTATTTATTTAGCCAATAGCTGTTGCCAGTGCTAGCGTGGTAACTCATTCCTCACCCATAGTCCTAGGGCACGGAGAAGGAGGCAGGATTGCCGTGAGTTAGAAGACGGCCTAGGCTACATAGCAAGATCCTATCTGACCTCCATGGATACTACATACATGCGGTGCACAGGCATACAAAACTACATACATGTGGTGTACACACACACACACACAAAACACCCATACCCATTTTAAAATGGTAACAATGAGATGATGGTAGAACTTGATAGTTCCTTTGTGGGCAGCTCACCCCCTTCCAGAAATGGGGTTTCATGCAATAAGGCAAATACAGAAAACCAGGCTCATTCAGAGTGGGTCAAGAAAAATGTCTCTTAGCTGGGGAGCAAGCTCTGGTGGTAGAGTACTTACCTTGTAAGCATGAAAGCCTGCGTTTCATCCCCAGAACCCACATAAGCATCTTCTACAGCCTTGGTAGCAAATGTAAACTGACGTGATTTATAAATCTAATCATATTAGGGTTATCAGTTGTTAAAGAGAATACTCTTGATTCCCGTGGTGATTATGAAGTCCATTTTGCTGAGGACATACAAGTTCTTCAGTGTTTGTGAGGTTGAGTAGAGGGGGCCTTGATGCCAGCCAATGGCCAGTTGTCTTAGCGCCTCAGGAGGCCGCCCACATAACATATGCGCAGAATATCAGCCAATGGTCAGTTGTCTTAGCGCCTCAGGAGGCCGCCCACATGCACATGCGCAGAATATCAGGGACCGCTGGACGTGGCCGGGATCGCAAAATCAGCAACATCAGTGAAGCAACAAGGTTTTCTTGAACAGTTGAGGTGTTTCAGGGGATATTCAGCCCCATCGTGGATGGTGAGGAAAGGGGCTCCACCAACAGAGATAGCCGGCATGGCTTGTTATGTAACATGATACAGTGATGTGTAAGTGACTCTGGACAGGACGAGGAAGTGATTTCTGAGTTACGGTGGTTTTATGAATGTTTAAAATACCTAGAACATTAAAGTAAGTTAATGTTTTAAAGCCAGGCAGCTGCTTGTATTCCTAGCACTGAGAAGACAGAGACAGGTGAATCCTTGGGGCTCCTTAGCTAAAGTGGACTTAGGCGTGGTTGCTCCCACCTTTAATCCCACCGCTCAGGAGACAGAGGCAGGTAGATAGTGGATAGCATTTGAAGAGTGACACCCAAGGTTGTCTTTTGACCTCATGCACACACAATTTTTTATTAATTATTTTTTTATACGTATGAATGTGTTTGCTTGAATGTATGTCTGTGCACCACGTTGTGCCTGGTACCCACTGAGGCCAACAAGAGAGTGTTGAATCCCCTGCGTGTTACACAATTATGAGTTGCCATGTGAGTACTGGGAATTGAACCCCAGTCCTCTGGAAGAGCAGCCAGTGTGCTTAACCAGTGAGCCATCTCTCCAGCCCCAATACAAAGGATTTTTGAAGTCACACCAAAGAACATAGTTGTGCTCTTGGAGCATGACTTCCGGGGTTGAGTGGGAGGAAGGACAGATGGAGAGGTGAAGCATATCCCTTACTGCCTGATTCTAAAAGAATGGCAGGGTCACCAGTGCCCAGGTAACTTCACCTGTGTGCGTGTATCTGTGCATTCTGCCTTCGTGTGCCTGCGCTTTTCTTATATTTAATTCTGTACTTCTTGTTATAGTTCATGTAAGGTAGCTTATTCCTGTGTTGCTCTGGCCATTCTGACTACTTTGTTCATGAGCACAGATATTCTGTTAGCCAGTACTTCCCTTCCTCTATAATCCGATAGGTAGGTTCTCTACAGCGTTTATTGTAGTGAGCTTTTCCGTTTTGTTTTGGTTTTGAGATAGGGTCTCCTATATCCCAGACTGGTCACTATGCAGATAAAGATGACCTTGAACTTATGGTCTTCCTGCCTCTACACCTTGACTGAGCTCCAGGCTTACAGGGAAATACCGCCATGTCTGGTTTATGGGGTGCTAGCTATCAAACCCTTGGGTTTCATGCATGCTTCACTGGCATTGCGCCCACTCCCCTACAATAAGAAATATGCTTGTGCTTGTTTGATTTATCTGTGCTCTGGATTGTCTGCTCAGGAAGAATCCCAGAAGTGGAATTAGGGAATCAAACTGTATAGCCCTTTCATTATTGCCAGAGTATCTTCCCCAAGGTTCTGCCAAGTCACAGAACACCACAGTTAGCAAGAGTGTAACTGGTAACGTACTCTGGTGAGGCCACTGAGCAGCACCATGGCCTGTTTCACCCACTATAGTGCCTGGCTTTGTGACTCACCTTTGGAGGCTCAGAGACGTGCAGATAAGGAAGCAGGAATTTTAAGAGCCCAGCTCTGGACACCCTCTGCTCACCAATATCCCCCAGCCCCTATCTTCTGCCTCTGAGGTTTGTTAGTTCTCAGCATAGTCTAACCTGACTCCTCAATGACCCCTGCTGGCCATGTCCACCGAGGCAAGGGAGGGTACACATGTGTTGCAACCCACAGTGCTCATCCCTGGGAGAGGGGCTGGACTATAAAACCAGGCTGGTCAGCTCCCCTTAGCGTTTTCTCTTATTATATGGCTTGGGATTTTGTGTGCCTGTTGCACACTGAGGCCAGGAGAGGGCACCAAATCCCCTGGGAGTTAGACAGTTGTGAGCTGTCGTGTGAGTACCAAGAATTGAACCCAGGCCCTGTGTAAGAGCAACCAGTGTTCCTAACTGCTGAGCCATCCCTCCTGTCTCCACACAGGACTTTTTTTTCCCCCAGGCAGGCTTCATAAACTTGGGGTACTCAGCTTCCCCAAATGGCTGCTCCATTGAGGCTGGCTCTGCCATGTTTTCTGCCTTTACCATGACGGATGATTTATTGGGAGTGTTGCTTTAGGCATTCCTGTAGGCTTCCCAAGTTCTTTCCAGAGTGAAAACTGTAGAAGAATCTCTAAAGAGATACAGCTTCCTCTTGTAGCAAATAAAAGATGGGGTCCCATACTTAGACTTTTCCTTGTTTATCTTCTCAGCGTGCATTGTCTCTGAGAGTCAGAACTCCATCGAAAACAATTTGTCATGGGTGACTGGAGGTGGCAGGTCATGGGTATAGGCACAAGGCCTGAGACACTGTTACCCAGGACTCTGGCTTGCTTATCTCTTAGTGAGTTATTACAGGGCCTGGGGGAAGTGGAGGGCTGCTAGCTGAAGCTTCCCAGGAACCTAAGGTCTCTGGTTACAGAGACTGCCCTGTGACTGACACTTGGGGGGCTAATTGGGAACATGAACTCCATTAGCCTGAGGACACAGAGCCTCTGCTGGTGCTGCTGACAGGAAGCCAGGCAGAGCTTCCATTCCTGTGGGAAGCCTTAACTGTGACTCTTCCTGGATGTTTTAGTGCATGGAGAAGGAAGGTGGGAAGGGGCAGAAGGTACCAGATTCCAGATGTTTCTGTCATTGTCCTCAGGATGCCAGCCTGCAGACTGTCAAAGGGCCTGCTGCAGAGGCCTGAGGACAGGAAGGAGGGACTCATCTCCCACCCAGAGAATGGAGGTGAAGGCCCTCACAGAGGTCACAGGGGTAGTCTTCTACCTCAGGGACCAGAGTACCCAGCACTGTTGAGCTGGGAACTTACAAGTAGGTCTTCTTGATTTAATATGTCAGTATTTTCTTCTTCTCCTCTTCCTCTTCTTCTTCCTCTTCCTCCTCTTCCTCTTGCTCCTCCTCCTCCTCCTCCTTCCCACTCAATCTGTCTCCAGCAAGCATCCTTCTACCCTGATGTCAGTGAAGAGGTACGAACTAGAGCCTTGCGGTACGGCACAGAATGCACCTTGGGCTACCTGGACCTACTGGAACACGTCTTGGTGGTAAGGAGGGGTGTGAGCAGGGTGGGGTGGAGCTGTGTATCTTTGTCCCTCCCTGGTTGATCTAGGGAAAGACCTTTCCCCAGGGACACCCCTCTTAGAGTATTCTGCCAGCATCTCTCATGAGGCTAGGGGACAGGTCTGATCCAGCACACTGGGCAGAAAGTACAGCCTTCAGGAAGACTCATTGAGAGTTCAAAGGATCTGATTTCACTCTGGCACCAAAGAGGCAGAAAGAACATGCCTGAGGTAGGATGAGGGGATAAAAGGAGGAGACAGTGGCAGGGGGTGGGGGGAGGTAAATTGAAGGTCAAAGACAACCTTAAAAGGTACTGAAAGGTCTCTCAAGCTGGGGAGATAGTTCAGTTGAAGTGCTTATCATGCAAACACAAGGGACCTGAATTTGATCCCCAGCACCCACGTAAAAAACAAAACAAAACAAAACAAAAAAAAAAACCTGAGTGAGGCAACACATGCCTGTAATCTCAGTACTGGGGGCGTAGGTGTAGGAGAGACAGAGGGATCCCAGAGTCTAGCTAAACCAGCAAGTTTCAGGTTGAGTGAGAAACCCTGTCTCAGCAACAAGATGGAAAGCAGCTGAGGAGATGCCTGATGCTCTAACCTCCAGCCTTACAAACACGTTTGTGCACTCACATATAAACACATAGACATTCATACATGCACACACATACATATGCATGCATGTGCACTCATACACACAGACACACATACCATATTGGGAGGTCTTATTACAGAGACCCAAGTGCATTCTAAAAGATACAGAACACCAGCCTCCATGACTGACTAAAAAGAATCATTGCTAGTGACCTGCTAGCCTCCGGTGGCTTCCTGCCATCCTTGAGTGAATGGCGTAGGTCACTTCAAGAGAGCCTCAGCCTGCTGTGTACACTGTGGAGCTAGGATTAGAAGGCAAAGACAGAAAATGCTGGACAGTAGATGTCATAGTTATGGTTGGTACATAAGCCTTAGGTTTGCGTAGACCCTGTTTTCTAGCCATCTTTAGAACCTTGTATGGGCTGGAACAGAGCCCAGGAGAGTTTGTTCAAGAGCCAGGGAAAACACTATTTGGATGGATGGATGGATGGATGGATGGATGGATGGATGGATGGATATGGATGACTTGTCACCTCCCATCTCTGCTCCACCCTTCCCAAACCTAGAAATAAAAATAAATCCCAGGCCTCAGGGGCACAATTGTTGTCTCTAGAAGCCAACTACCAAGCATTGGGTTTCGTTGTTTTTCTTTCTACTGCCAAATGAACTGGCACACCAAATGAATAACCAGAAACCCACAAAAGTCTTTCCCTTGTTAAGGTCATCCCACAGTTCAGCAACAGACTAGGAACAGGAACTCACTCCTGTTCCCCCCCCTCCCACCCCGGCTCTGTTCTGGTTCTAGCGGTCACTGCTGGCTTCTTAAATTATCTTCTTGTGTTAACTGTTTAAGGTTTTTAAAGACTCGTGTTCATCCAGAGAACTGCAGTCATTGCTAAAGCATTATTTGTTGGTACTGGTTTGTTTCAGAAAAAAATAATCAGTCGGTAGTCCCAGCACACAGGAGGCAGAGGCAGGTGGATCTCTGTGAGTTTGAGGTCAACTTGGTCTACAGACACCTTTGCCTGAGGGGAAGTAAGGTGACCAGAGTCTCTGAGAACATTAGAGAAGGTCCAGGAAGCATCCCCAGGCACCCTACTTAAGAGCGGTCTAGGTGCTGTGTCTAGTTCCAGCCATGAAGATCACAATCATAGGGAATGATGCCATGTGTCAAGGAGGAAGTGCTGGTGTAGGCTGGAGGCTAGGGTGAGGAGGGAGTGCCTCTGCTTTCTGTTCTAGAACCCTAGGAAGAATGGGCTGTGTGAGCTTTGTCTATGGCTGCTCACATGGCGTGGTCGGTGTTCAAACACAAGATTCTTCTGGAATCTCCCATAGAGTTAAGACTTAGTCTTCCGTGTTGCTGACCTACCTAGATGGTTGGTGAATCTGTTGGTGATAATTCTTCCCATTACTCTATACGACAGTTGTCCTTGCCCTCCATACGTAGGGTAGACATCGGAAATGTGCTGTTTCTCTGAGAGCCTTTAGAGAGCCGGCTGGGGCCAGAGTGAGACCATTAACAGAAGAACCAGCTCAATGGAGTAAAGCTGGGGTTCTAACATGAGCAGAAGTATCCCAGCTTTGCAACAAGAACTTTTGTATATAAGGCTAGAGGTGACTCAGCGACTAAGACACTTGCTGCTCCTGCAGTGGGCAGGAGTTTGATCCCCAGAACCCATGGTCGGGCCCACAGCTGCCTGTGACTCAGGGGATCTGATGGCCTCCCCTGGCCTCTGCCAGGCACTCACATGCACACCGTATATATTCACAGAGACCAAACACACATACATGTAAATAAGAATTTTTTTGTGTGTAACTTAAAGGTATATGTGCACATGCACACACACACACAAAGGATCCCAGCACATCTCTCAAATTGTTCAGGAGATACCAAATTGAGTACACCTGCCCAGAAAACCCCACTTCTGCCTTTTTTTTATAAGAATCTATTTAACTTTCGACATACACAGGATCTCTCGTTTGAGCATGGCTGCTCTCGGAAGCTCCTCGGTCCCCATGGGAAAGCATTGTCACCCTGCACTTGCTCCACAAGGCATGATGCAGCCCCCAGCTTCCCAGCCGCCAGCTTCCCAGTCCCCAGCTGTTATCATGCCGGAGATCTGGGACAGGGTTAACGTTCACATCCCCGGCAGACCTTTAATCTGAGTCGGTGTTCTGCTATCAGAAATCATATTGACTTAATCACAGAATTAAAAATAGAACAGCTCTCCTCCTGGCTGTCTAGAGCTAAGACACTTTTACCTCGGTGCTGCTCTCTGCCTTAAAGGGCCATCTGTTCCCAGAAGTGGCACTCTGTGACTACCTCAAAGGCTCTTCTCCCAGCCACAGACATCTTCAGTCATTGCAGTTTGATGATTCAAGGGCCTCACGTTCCCACAGCTGTAACTCCCCTCAGCGTTAATGAGGCTCAAGTAATTGAGTGAAGAGTAGTATTTCTGGGTCTCTGAAAACGCTGCCGTAATAGAAATAATGAATATACTTCTCACCTGCAGATTTTCCAGGCAGCTGATGACCTGCTTTTCATTATTACAGATTTGTTTGAATTTTCTACACTTGGCCCAGAACTCATTGTACAAAATTCTCAAAGAACTAATACTTTTTTTTATTAAAAAGATTCTTGGGCTGGAAAGATGGCTCAGTGGTTAAGAGCACTGGCTACTCTTCCAGAGCTCCTGAGTTCAAATCTCAGCAACCACATGGTGGCTCACAACCATCTTTAATGGGATCCAGTGTCCTTTTCTGGAGTGTCTGACAGCTACAGTGTATTCACATACATTAAATAAATAAATTTTTAGAAAAAGATTCTTTAGCATGATAGGGCAGCAGACCTACATTTTCTAAATAGAATTGCAGTGTTTTCAGTTCTGTGTATATTGACATATAAATTTATCTTATTTGAGTCTTGTTACATAGCCCAGGCTGGCACTTGCTATCTTCCTGCATCAGCCTCCCAAGTGCTGGCATCTGTCACCATGGCTTCTCTTTGTGAATTTAATTTACATGATCTTTTTTTTTTTAGTGTTTGAGAATTTCATGTCTTTTGGTCAAGTCCACCCCCCATTTCCTCCCATCCAGTTCCTCCCTTACTTCTTCCACTAGCATTTGTCTCCAATTGTATTTGCCTTTTTTTTTTTTTAAATGGAAAAAGTGCTGCCAGTGTGTGCAAGGGTATAGGGCCATCTACTGGAGCGCCGGCATCCTCCCTGGAAACTGACTATCTTACGGCAGCCACCAGTTGCCACAGCTCCTCAGCATGGGCTGGGATCTCGTATGACCCCCTCCCCACCATGATGAGAGTTTGGCTGTCTTGATCTTTCACAGGTCCTGTACATGCTATCACAGCCACTGTGAGTCCACTGTTTATGTTGAAATATCTTCTTCATAGAAATTCAGAATTCTTTGACAATGCTGTCTAATGAGTTTTAGCCATATTCAATCCTTTTTCTAGTTTCCCCTGGATCTCTTCCCCTTCCCCTTCCCCTTCCCCTTCCCCTTCCCCTTCCC